CAACTTGGTGCCTGATACACTAAGTAGAAGAAAAGAGTTTGTGGAAGAGAAACTCCATGACTCTATGACACTAAAGACTATAATGTATCATGATGACTCTCTCTTGATAAGGGGCATTAAGAAAGATTATGAACAAGATAAGGATGCACTTGAGATTGAAGAAGCCTTTGTTCAAACCAAAACTACAAGAGAACAGAGGAGACGTATGGGAGTCTCTTCTATAAGAAATGGATTGATTTGGTTTAAGCAAAGCAAACTCTATGTACCAAAAGGTAAATGGAAAAGGAAATTAATGTATGAAATACATGATTCTTCATGTAATGGACATAGAAGTAGAAAGGACACTTTTAAAGAAGTGACAAGATTCTACTATTGGCCTTCTGTAAAGGAAGATATGGACCAATATGTGAAGAGTTGTTTAATTTGTCAAAGAAATAAACACTCTATTCAAGCAAAGAGTGGACTCTTGGAACCATTGCCTATTCCATCTCTACCTTATAGAGATATTTCAATGGACTTCATAACTAGCTTACCAAAGTGTGGTGAAGCTAACTCCATATTGGTAGTTGTTGATAGATTCAGCAAGACTGCTAGATTTGTATCAATAACTATGTTTCCAAAAGATTCAAAGGAGGCAATAGAAACTGCCCCAAAATTAACAACAAGTGTATTCTTTGATAATTGGATCTCTTTATATGGAGTGCCAACCTCAATTTTGAGTGATAGAGATGTGAAATTCATAACTCAGTTTTGGCAACATGTTATGAGGAAACTAGGTTCTAAAGTCATATTGACCATTGCTTTGCATCCACAAAGAGATGGCCAAACTGGGAGACTCAATGGAATTCTCTCAATGTATCTAAGGCACTGTGTGGCAAGTGATCATAAGGATTGGATCAAATGGCTGCTCATAGCTGAGTTTAGTTATAATACAACTCAAAATGTGTCCTTAGGAAATACACCATTTCAAGTAGCTCATGGCTTCAATGCTTTGCGACCTATAGATTTGGTAGAAATCAAACAGAGTGATGAAACAACTTCGGAGTTTTATTCAGTTAAAGGGACAAGGTGGGTGACAAAACGGGAAGCCATATTACAAACTGCTAAAGCTAGACTAAAATTGGCCCAAAGAAGATACAAGAAATAAGCAGATAGGCATTGAAAGAATGTGCAATTTGAAAAGGGGAACAACGTTTGGTTGAATACAAGCAACCTCACTTGTCCAGTACATCTTACTCCCAAATGGACCCAGAAATAGGCAGGTCTTTATAAAATTGAAAGAGTGCTACACAAGAATGTCTATGTATTAGACATACCTAAAAGATTGAAGTGGCATCCGGTTTTCCATGTAAGCTTTCTCAAGAAATTTGTGGAGGATGAAAAAGACTTTCACAAAGAGAAGGCAAGAATTCCACCTGAAGAAGAAATATGGGATCAAACCATAGGTCAAATAGAAGCGATACTTGAAAAGAAACAGACGGATGTTAGAGGGGTTCAATATTTGTGTACTTTCAAAGGGTATCCTCCACATGAATTCCAATGGATAAATGAGAGGAACTTACGACATGTGTAAGGGTTAGTCACAGCCTTCAATAAAGAAGTTGGTGACTATAGAAGACCCAAGACCACAAGGAAGCAAATCAAACCCCACTAAAGGATAGATAGGTTAGTTGATTAGTTTGATAATTTGGAAAAGATCAATGAAAAGGATGACCAAGAAGATGAGGACATCTTCACTCCAAAGTGGATGAGGGCCACAAGCCTATATGACTTGTAAGAAAAGAAAATCCATAAGCTATAGTGTAAAGGAGAAATATAAAAGAAAACTTGGAAAAGAAGATGATGAAAGTTTTCAAGAGACAGAAGATTTTGAAAGGATTCCAACCCGCGGGGACTTCGTAGAGGGAAACCTTAAGAAGCTTGTATGAGGCGGATACGAGACTCTGAGCAACCAGGCCTAAACGGTTGGTCTTTCTTAAATGGGTTTCACATTGAGTGATAGCAAGTCACTTCCATATGGTATGGAAGGATACTAGGATGAGACAGATCCTAGTTAAGGGGTTCCACGGCCGAGGCTAAGTCTAAGTGGGGAATAATATTTCTATCATTCACATTGGGAGATGTGAACTTTCAAAATCCACAAAATTGAGAAAGTTTAAGTAAGTTGAAGGCAAAAAGAAATTGCACAAGAAACGTGAGAAGGGAGTAGCATCCCTTCTCAACAAAGAAGTCATAAATCCTCCTTTACCCCTACCATCTTCGGAAAGACTAGAAGTGTGAATGGAGGCTAGGTAGACAAAAGAGCCTTCAAGCTACCTAGGAAAGAAAGAAGGATATAAGTACAAAACGTCCATTATAAACATTCTGTGAGAATGGAAAAATATATGTATATACGAATATACCTTATATATCAATGAGGACATTGACTCTCCAAAGTGGAGGAGGATGTAAGGGTCTAAAGGATCTGACTCTTACACTTATTGAGTCAAAAGGTATTAGGAGCCCCGGCGTTTCCTAAGCCCATGGGAAAGCCGCGGCGAGGTGGCGATGGAGTGGATGGGCGGGCCACCTCCCTCACACCGAGGGACTACACGATGCGGGGGCAGCGTGCGGTGTGAGGGGAAGTATTTTGGAGTTCCTGTGGAGTCCCGGGTGATCCAGAGGAGTCAGGAGGACTCCAACGGACCACCGGGGTTTAGCTTACTGGCGGCTTGAGTCTGGAGTTACAAAGACCAGGCTGTGGTGACAGTATCCGGGAGTAGGGTCCAGTTCATAGGGCCAGTATTAACGGAGTTTCTGGTTGGTGGTGTTTCAGGGTGAAATCGAGTGACCAGCAAGAGGAGGGCCGTTACATGGAGGTGTGTGTATGTGGAGGAGTCCCATGGTCTCAACGTATCATCAGCTCACTACACTGGGACATTTTACCACAACACTACTGTTGCTCCTCCTCTTCCTTACCATCATCATCTTGGCTAATGAAATGTGCCAGTGCTGCACATTCCAGGGAATTGACTTTCTTTCTGGTTCAATGTTGGTGCTTTCTCTCCATACTCACACACACACACACACACACACACACATACTGCAGCTTCACCATAGCACTATTTGATGTTCTTTCAATTTAGTGTGTGTATGTATCTGAATTGATACCACACCATTCTCAAAACACAACCCCACAATTTTCATAGTGCAGGGCTTGTAAGATTCATTACAACCAAGTCTCTCAACCTCCCTCATTCATGTATCTATGTTTGTTGTTTATACATGCATTGTTAAATTCTATACTATCCCTAGCCATTGCAAGTTGCACATTCCATGTGTCACAGACATGGATCATGCAATATCTCCTGTTAGTGCCTCTTTTTTTAATTCCTCAGTTAGAGTCTACGGCTGACCTGCTCACCTGGTTTTGTAACTGTGATGTTTCTCAATGCTGAAATTGACTCACTAGACTGCTTTTTCTACAATACTTTTAATTTTTGTTTTTTTTTGTTTTGATGTGAAGTCAGCTGGAAAGTATACATGAGAGGTGATATCATAGTCTTAGCTATTTTTGGATTAGTCAATTCAAAAATTTGCATTGGTTTTTGTGTTTTCCAATATTGTTTTATATATTTGGAACTTGAGTTTTTATTATGTTGTAAACTATTAACTTGATTGTAGTGAATTTTTAAATATATATTTTTTTATTTTGTGAGGCTCTTATAGATTTTTACATTGATCTGTGTTGTAAATAATACATGTTGTTGTCAACATTGTGACAAAGTGTTTTGAACAACATGAAAGCCTTGACTTTCATAAGGTTGAATGCTTATGTTTTAATTGTTTAGAAGACTATTGTTCTTTTAGTAGTTTTTTATTATTTAGTCGTGGAGTTTTTTGTATATTAATCTTGATTATAATTTTGTTTTTGTCTTTAGCCATTCTTTTATTGTTAACTTAATTGATTTTTAGTTTTTTTACCTCTTCTAATATATACTACTTGTAGTATTCAAGGACAATAGCCTATTTCTTGCATTACAATAATTGCAATTTGATTGTTCATATACAAGATTTGTAATGTTTCTAAATTTAGACAACATGCTCAGCAAGTTTTTTATGTCATGAGAATCTAATAATGAAGCTTTGTTGCTGAAATATTTTGAAACAATTTCATCAGTATTTGTATTGTTAATACATCAAGTTTGCATTGGTGCAGTCTTGTTTTGTTATATTACAAAACCTGAATTGTTAATGGATAAAATGTAGTTTTAATAGAAATTGAATACAAAAGACATCATTTAACTTCTTTAACATAGAGAAAAATTTGCAAGCAGTGACATAACATTTAGTAATTAACAAGATGTGTGGTACATTTTATATAACTGACCATTGACATTGAACAGAATTAGATGTCAATTAGTCTATTATTTGTAGCATAAAACAGAAAATTGAATAATTTATGTTAAAATCTTTAAAATTGTCACATGTCAATGATTTTTTGTTTTGTTTTGTTTTGTGTAACAACTTCTTTCTTGAATATCTTTTAAATTATCATACGAATTAATTTTAAATTTCAAATCCATTCTAACTACAGGAAACTTTTAAAACTTGTACTTCAGCATCAAACACAAGGAAATTGATGGAAACTCATTTGAAACATTGACAAAAATGAAAGATGAACATGCACCAACAAAAACAAACATTGGGAATTGCATCGTGAGAAACTTGAATACAAAATCAATCATCGTGTACAGAACAACAGAGTACATATCTAACCATAGTAACACCTCAAAGTGAAAAATCTACAACACATGTCCACTCGCGGCACTGAGAAGATCGATTCAGGTTTTGCTTTCGGCGATCAGTGTTCAATCCACCATAGCCAGCACTGCCGCTGCTTCTGCCGCTTTGGTTGTGTCGCCTCTGGTGTACCTTTGTGCCTGTGCAGCATATTTGTCCCTGTTGTGTCTTCGACTTGGAGACTTAGGGCTTCGGAGACACCTTCATCGGTACGTGTTCGGAGACGCGGTGGATGTTTGCTAGAGAGTTCTGTCGTGTTTGGAGTGTTGGGTTTGGTGGAGGCCTGTTTCGGGAGGGGATGATTCTTGGTGATGAGGCTTTTGTGATGTGTGTGGAGAGTGTTTTGGAGGCAGGCTTGTTTTATGTGACTAGTGGTTGTTGTTGTTGTTTTTTTGTCGGTGTGTGTGTGTGTGTGTGCGATTTGAAGTTGAGGTCGGGGGTATCGTGCTCAGGATTTTGCGATCCGTGGCGATCTCCTACGAGCAGGCTGTTTCCTGGTTAGTGAAGCTCGATCGCTGAAGGCGGGAAGGCTTTGTTTGGGCGCTGCGCTGGGGTAGATAGCGACAGGGTTTCGGATGGGAAGGTGGATCTACGAGGCTGTGGTGTGGGGCGAGGGACGTTTCTTGCGAAGAAGCTGCAGCAACTTGTCAGCCTAGGCGCCGTTGCGAAGGAATTCGAGGGTGGGACACAGGAGTTTGGAGGACGTGTTGCATTGGATTGGGAGACAGGTGGTGAGGCGACATTGTAGGGACGGGCTGAATTGTATGTGAGGTATTTGTAAAGATGAAGTGAGCACGAACAGTGGGGCAGGTAGAGTCCGAAGGAGGGCCTTGTATTCGATCTGAGCATAACCGCGACGTCATAATCACAGTTCATGGTATATAGGAATTAGAGTCGATGGAGGATCACGGCGGAGCAGTTGGAGGGTTGTCTTTGGAGAAAGTGCACAGTCGGGCGCGAAGAGCGTTGTTGATGGTCCGGGATGGCTTGGAGAGGTTGGAGCGATTAGAGTTGGCGGCGCAGCAGCCTAGCAGCAGCAGCAGTCCTAGCTACAGAGGTATAGGTGGCTTACAGGACGCGCAACCAACGGCGCCAGATATCGTGGAGAACCTGAAGAAGGAGATTGGTGAGCTGCAGGTGGCTAGTGCTGACATGGATAGGATGTGGCGTAACCAGGTGTTGGCGAAAGGGCAGCGGGACCTATGGAAGCGACGTATTGAGCAAGTTGCTGAGGAGGTTGAGTCGCTGAAGGCTGGTATTGATCGGTATCTACTGCGGCAGCATCGACGGCAAGTTGAAGCTCAAGAGCGTGCCGAGCTTTTTCGTCGGACTAGAGGAGACGGTGCTCACATACTACAGGTAAATTGCTGTCAGATTGTTAATGCGACCTTTTTGGATATTACGCAATGTGTTTTTGTATTTCCGAAAGTTCAACATTGTGAAGGGTATGATTACTTTTGGTGGTTTCACCGTTTATTTGGTATTGTCCAGTGTTTTAACTGTCACTGTTGCTAATCTTTACGCATGATTGTGTGTGCTAAGTGAACAGGTTTCGTTCTTATAACCAGTAGATTTCTGTGGGACCTGTACACTTAATGCCGTGATGTTTCTATAATCTGTAGCTTTGCCAAATCACGATGTGCTCATGTTTGTCTTTTGCGTGTTTGAGCTACGGAAAATGACGAATTCTCTACTTAGCAATTATTAATGGTGTTTCACGTTTTGTTTTGCAGGTACATGATATTGAAATGCAGGCTCTGCAATCCGCGAAGAACTCGTCACGAATGTTGGACGATGCTTATGCGACGGGAGTGGCTGTTTTGGGGCAGTATGCAGTGCAACGGGACCGTCTGAAATCTGCGCAGCGAAAAGCATACGATGTGTTGAATTCTGTGGGATTGGGCAACAAAATGATGCGAATGATAGAGAGACGGCACAAAGTAGACCGATGTATCGCTTATGGGGGCATGGTTTTTACAATAATTATCGTTCTTTTTGTGATCAGGTGGGTGCGGTGAAACGATACAATTTTTTAGGATTTTTTCCAGAATAGCAATCCAGTGGGGCACATGATCCAAGCATCTGCTGTCTTGCAGCAGGCTATACTTTGTGGCAAATTTATGTTCGCTGATGATTTATGTTCAGATCTTTTCAAAACGTTTTCGAGCTTTTCGTGCGGTGGACCTGCGGAAGTATTGTAAGTAGGATGGTCTCATACAGCTGGGGTCTGTTTATTCACAGGTAGTCTGCTCTGGTACTGTAACATTATACAAGACATGTTTAGCGAGTTTTTTTAGGCCGTTTGCACAAGAACAATCTGCTTTGTTGAGAGTGGTTTTTAGTAACTCACCGCTGTATTCATTTCTTTTCCCCTCACGTCTACTTGTAACTTAGAAAAGAGGTTTGCATGCGGTCGAGTCTACCTGACGTATGGGCAGACTTTTTCGCTCCATACATTTCCGAGGAGCACTGTACATATATAGACTTAGGAAGTATTTATAAGATCACAGCTGAGGTTCCTATCATGGTTTTATCTGACTATCACAAGTAGTCCTAAAAGTAGCTGAACCTTCCGGGATTCAAGTGCGTGATCAGTTACAAATACGTAGATAAGAAGCAAAGAAATAATGCGTACAAATGCATGCAAGACAAAAAGTAGAATCAGTTTTATGAACCTAGCAGGTATTCATGTTTGAAAAAGCCCATCTATTGGTTTAACACTTCTAAACTGGCGTTTCCAGTAAACCAATGACGGCTAATAAGACTTCTGAACAAGTCGGTGCTAACCGTAACACCCTCTAGATGAAATCTGGGATCCAATACGCCTATCAAATTGGCAAAATCCTAATTGGCTGCGACCTCCATAGTAAGGCTACGTGTACTCAGCGAACTCGCGACTGCTGACGTACCCAATTCAGATATTGAGGAAAACTGATGTGACTATAATGGTGTTATTGCAAGATGGTAACCGACCTGTAAACTATTGCAGACGACCAGGTGAGGAAGCACAAATAAACTATCACCACACGAATTTGAAGTAGAACTTTTCCTTGCAAAAACGCTCCACCAGAGTTCACTAGCAATACAAGACTAAGAACGAATACCTAGACAACTACTGGACCTTTAAAACACCAATTATTTACCAGTCGCACCAATACCGCTTTTGAAGTTCAAATTAAACCACTTCTTTGACTTATTGGCTTTATCAACATTTGGGTCTTCAGTGGGAGGAGATTCGTTCTCATCTGCGCTCGTGGCGCTATCCCCCCCAATTACCTTGGCGCTGCTACTGCTGCCACCAGACATCTTTTTAGGGGTTGTGGGAACAGAAGTGAAGGATTCTTGGATCTTTTCACGTGATTTTAGCAACTCATCCACCTGTAACCCAATGACAATTATTACTGCTGCTCCACTGACGGGGATTACACTAAGCATATAACTTTCAGAGTAACTAAAACCTGGATTGCATGAGTCAGATATTTTTACCGCTTGTTTCTCTTGTGCATACTTATTTGTAACAGCTTGGAAACGAGCCAAGACCTGCACAAAAAGTATGCCCACACATCGACTATGAGGTAAAATGCGTTCATTCTTGCAAGAAAATAACAGAGGAATCTCACTAAAATTGCTTTAACAGTAAGAGAAGCATGAACACATGACAAAAAATAAATGCATAAGGGGCCATCATAACACACTGTTATGTTGAAAAGCAATGGGTATGCTTTCAAACATAAAATTTCACAACATACCTCTCGATACTCGACCTCGAACTGTTTCAGTTCATTTCGTTTTGAGAGTAACTGAGTTTCAATATCTTTTAACTTGACTGCTGTCTCCAAATATGACTCAGCACAAATAGCCTCGATTGTGTAGCTGGCGCTCTTAAAGAAGTTATCACCTTCAAATAAGTAATGGCATTCATAAGACGCAATACTGGCTAGAAGAGTGTAGTCGTATCAAATAAATGTTGAAAACTTCGAAAGAAATTGCAATTTTGAGCATAACAAACTCTCAACAGCATGAGACCGAAGCAGCACTCACCATACACGGCAAAAATGTGTGTGCCTGCCGTTAATTTCGACATTTCACAGGGTTGCAGGCCTTCCAACCTCTTGAAAAATGCCGCGTCTGGATCTTTTGCTATTGCGAGCTGCATTTGTGGAGGGCACAATGGTTTAGTAAATTACTAAAAATTAAGCCCGGAAAACTCAAACTAATTTGATTAAACCAAAAAGCTATTCATTACATGAACGTCCAATATCTCTTGTTTTTCGGAAGATCACTTTGATATAAAATGAAAACCCTGAGCAAAGTGGAAAACAAAGTTATCTTTTGATAAACGTTCCACCCAAATGACTATTTACTGTAGGAAGGAATAAGGCATCTCACCGCATTGATTGTCGGGTCCAATCGATACACTTGAAAATGTAAGAAGTACATGCCAGCAGATGTGACCTTTCCTGTCTTTACACTGTCTTCCTGTGCATGTCGAATAAGAAGAATAGTTACGGTAATGCAGCTTTATATTTTCAACAATTCTTCGTCATCCATAATGTCAAAATCGTGTAGTTTGTGTAACTAGCAAGAATACATTGAAACTGAACAGGAATTATAGCAGTCTAATATGCTCTTCCAAGTTGGGGGATCAACTGAACACAATCAAGTATTATCCTAAAATCCGCTTTCAATTTTTATCGTTTGAATTCATAAAAAAAGTGCCCGTCACGAAATGCTCTTTTAATAGCATTATCCATCAAGTCCTCTAGAACAAAGAATGCCAGAAATAAATTCTTACTTCTGACCTCAGTAGCAAGTTTTGGATCAAATTTGGTGCTTCATGAATCGTTTGAATGACAGTCAAATCAATTACAATGAGAACTTCAAGCATCCAAAAAATATATTTGTATGCACCAAGAAAATAATGGATAAATACCCAAATTCTTTTTTGCTACAAAATTACTAGTAGTGGTATGATATTGTTTTAAAAGTAGAAATATTTCTTTTGTAAATTTTCTTCAAAAACATGTTTTCCAAATCTGAACCATATTGTACACTCAAACAATATTCTACACCAAACACATATCGTCATGAAACTTGCTATAAATCTTAGTCAATTAGTAATGATAGAAACGTTTAAATGGACCGCAGTGATGAGTTCTCTAAAATTCATTTTACAACTTCACATCAAACTATGTCGCAACATAATTTTTTTGACATGAGAAATAGGCAGCAATCACCGAAGGCAATAGGGCTGGCAGGTTGTCTTCAATTACCTGCAACGCCAAACCTAATCCACCATTTTCTTCTTGCTCAAAGTACAATAACTGTAAAAGCATATAAACAGAATCAGAGTATTAGAGGGAGCGCCTAAAGTTCAATGGTAATGTGTTCATTATTTGACTCTAGGACGAGGTACACACCAGTCACGGTTCTAAAATTCGGAGATAGTCATTTCTGCTTTAAAACCCACATAAATTGTTGATGCTTGTTGTCATTCCTATGATGATTTGGAGTTCAAATGAATCACCAACTCTACATAGGAAGAGCGATCAAAAGCTTGATGAGCTATGTTAAGGACATACTTTGAACTTGCTCTGTACAGATGAGACCACCCGCACCACAACACCCGCTTCTGCTTGTGCTTCAGAAATTGTGATGCCAAAAAAGTGAGCCCCCTGCTTCTCAACCTGCAGAACAAGGATAATGTGACTACCCAGAGGAATATCGAAAGAAGAGACAATTCTTGCCAAAGAATATCTATGCGTGTAAGCATCACTTCAGAAACTACACTAATCGATGGAAGGCAATAAAGAGCTCCTCTAAAAATCTAACTGAATCGATAATCCAGAAAAACCACCACGACACAGTAATTGAAATGGACAGGAGTCAAAATCAGGTGCTCCATCCAGGATAAACTTGAATTCGCAATGAACAGAATCTGGATTTGGGTACAAGATCTAGCTCACTTTGTCATTCACGGGTCGCCCCAAGGGAAGTGGTCTAATCGTCACGGTACCATTAAGTGCCTCTTCTAAAACAGTAGCTGAGATAGTTGTTTTGATTGGAACACCCAACTTGCTGGAACACATGAGCAATAGACACCACATCTATCAACGCACGATGTAATCAGCCCAAGAAAAACGCTCAATATGAAAAAATGAGCGCACAGAGCAGTTTAAGAATAAGTAACAGAATGGCCCCAGAAACACTCGTGCAAATCGTTCGAGCCGTACAAACAAATAACACCCATTTGAATTATGTGCAGCATAAAGAAGGTAGATAAATGCTGTGGTTCAAAACAAAAAGCATCCGATTGGTATATGATATGCAAAAGCGCTCCAATTCTGTTGTACACTCATGCTGTACAATGAGGTGCAAGGTGTGGCCAGAGGTAGGTAATAAGAGAAGTAAATGAGGAATGACATACCTGAACAGTGCAGCAAACATGGTATTCACAGTTCCAAGATTTGAAAGGTCCAGCTCCATGTCTAGTCCCTCTAAATCAAAAGCCTAAAACCATGCAACACCATCCATGTTAATGAAAGTCAAGAAATTCAGAATCAATAAACTGGTTTCAATATGCTTCAGACTGGAAAACGCACACAATTACCAATAAAATATTACTGTAATGGAGACACAATCATTATGTGTACAATAAAGGGAAACTCATAGTTGAAAATAGAAAAAGAATTAAAACAAAAAACCAGAAAGAAAGAAACAAAGAGTAAGTGTATTACGTCAGTGCACAGAAAAAAAAAATTAAAAAAAAATGAAGAAGCCCTTTAAACTCAGAAGAGATAACATACGTCAAATCCACCAGCATCATACTGCCTACGCTTCTCTGGATCTGAGAGAATGCCATAGGAATAAGCGACTTCCTTAAATTTGTCAGCGGCCTCAGGATTGCCTGTGTTCTTATCTGGATGATACCTATTATCAGGAACTATCACCGTCAGAAAAATGCAGGAAGCAACTAATGGTGCAGATTACTAAGAACTCCACGTTTAAATAATTGAGTCAACCCACGCATAATTGTGAATGAAAACATAAGCCCTAAAGCAAGAAACCTCTCAGTACTTAGATAGTTCAAAACCATATGTCAAAAATCTAGCTCATAAACGTCCAGCCCTGATGCATTTTTATTTGAAATCTTCACGATTGCATTAGACGCGGACACATGTGACTACAGATCACATGACACCGTCTAAGGCCCGAAGGAAGTTATAGATCAATTTTAATAAAAATTAATTGCAGCTCCTGAAAAAGATGAAATACATAATTTCTTCACAAAGGTTTAAACAACTGTTTAACCTCGACAGCACAGTTAATCAAGATTTCAGCCATACTCTAAATACCCGGAAAAGTACTTGGAGACACATCCAGCTTACACGTAAACCTTTGCAGGAATAAAAGAAACAAAGAAAATAACAAGGAGGAACATTCCCCCAACAATAACAAGGAGTTCATGTTTAAGAAATGAGCTACGCAGAACTACGTGAACCTCGTGCAGCAAATAGCAGAAAGTCCCATGAAACTGGGAAAGTGAAAATATATTACTGATATCAAACTTGGACCATGTAAGTAAAAGCTAAGTGTACAAAAAGCATGAAATACTTGCAAAGAATTCATAACTCAACTTCTGTATAGGGTATAGATTCTAAATCCTCAACCACACGATCGTCGCTATTCTAGGCTAGAAGACATCAAGCGCGAACACATCAAGCGCAAGCCGACTACGCATACATGAACACTTACTTCAAAGCCAACTTCCTGTAAGTGCTCTTGATTTGTTGATCCGTGGCATCACGCGGCAAACCAAGCACCTCGTAAGGATCTCGACGCCCGGCATTAAGGCGAGAAGCTGCTGTGCTCCCATCCTGACCCCCAGTATCAGCCATGCCGTCAAACTTGGAAGCTCCTGTCTTGAGCGAGCTCTGCTAATTCAATCCAAATCCAAAGTATGAAATTTATCCGTCTAAGTGAGAGCCGGCTACTGTATACCATGAACTATGATTATGACGTTCCGGTTACACTCAGATCGAATACAAGACCCTCCTTCGGACTCTACCTGCCCCACTATTCGTGCTCACTTCATCTTTACAAATACCTCACATACAATTCAGCCCGTCCCTACAATGTCGCCTCACCACCTGTCTCCCAATCCAATGCAACACGTCCTCCAAACTCCTGTGTCCCACCCTCGCATTCCTTCGCAACGGCGCCTAGGCTGACAAGTTGCTGCAGCTTCTTCGCAAGAAACGTCCCTCGCCCCACACCACAGCCTCGTAGATCCACCTTCCCATCCGAAACCCTATCGCTATCTACCCCAGCGCAGCGCCCAAACAAAGCCTTCCGGTCTTCAGCGATCGAGCTTCACTAACCAGGAAACAGCCTGCTCGTAGGAGATCGCCACGGATCGCAAAATCCTGAGCACGATACCCCCGATCTCAACTTCAAATCGCGCGCACGCGCACACACACACATACACCGATCAAAAAAAACAACTACAAGCAATAGTCACATAAAATAAGCCTGCCTCCGAAACACGCTCCACAAACATCACAAAAGCCTCATCACCAAGAATCATCCCCTCCGAAACAGGTCTCCACCAAATCCAACACTCCAAACACCACACAATTCTCTCACAAAAACACCGACGCGTCATCGAACACGTACAGATGAAGGTGCCTCCTAAGCCCTAAACCTCGATCCCAGAGATGCCCCGCCCGGAACGAGCTCGGAAACAACAGGGACTCTTATGCAACACTGATAAGAAGTAGGTGCACCGGTGATTGTCTCACCCGGCAGAGCCGACACAATCAAAGCAACCGCAGCAGCAAAATGAATCCTGCAGTGGAGTAGAGTAGCAGACAGGCGATCGAATTTCCTATGGTAATTGATTGATTGAAGTGGAGGAGGTCCAGAGCAGCAGCCGCAGCGGCACCCGCGACGCAGGGAGCAGTAGTAGTGGTTGATTAGCGAAGTCACCATCTCCCCCATCGTCGTTCCAGGTTTGGCCATCGTGGGCCCGAGTCAGTTCTGGCTGGAACATCCACCCAGGCTCTCACCTCGCAAAGCAGCTGAGTACATGCACACGACGGTTCCGCATACGATCGGCGTCTTCTCATACCTCTCCACCTTATTCACTCGCAAAACAGCGTGCGCTCGGGCCATCTGACCTGGCATCTGACGTGGGTTGGCAGGTGTGGGTTTGTGTTTTTGGGAATATTGCACTGGTTGGAGTGTGTCCAGAGGTCCCTTCCCAACTGCACTATTAAAGCGCGTTGGAAATTGCTTGTGGGTGTGACGATGGTTTCCACAAATGCAACAAAGCAAATAAGTTAAAAGGAGAATTGTTAACATTACATCCCTGATTTGATATTGTTACACCCCACATGACCTCTACACTCGACTTAAATTGACTAAAAAGTGCACATTTCTACTTTAACGTGCATTTGGCAGCCCAAAATTTAACCCCATTGTTGAATTTAAAATAGAATGTACCAAAAGATAAGTTTTGTGTTATTGGCAGCCGAAAATAAAGCAAATTAGATTAGATAAATTTGTTTTTAAGGAAAATACACTATTTAAAAAAAGCTACAACCTATTTTTTAATAAATTAACCAATATCTCCCTCTCAACCACCACCATTTTTTAAAGAAAAGAAAGGAAAAAAATGCATGAAAGAAAGAGAATCATTATTAACTAGTTGTCTACGATGAGGTTACATGGGATGTAACATTATCAATTAAGGATGTAGAGTTAACAATTCTCTATGATATGTTTTTAATGTTCAGGACAAAGAAGAAACATTTTTACCTTCAATAAATTTATTTTCTTTATTTATTGTTAGTTATAGCTTGTAAGTGTGTATATAATACAAATAATTATGGATTTTATAATATACCAAAGAATAAACAAAAGATGTGAAAAATCTCTTTTATTTTGACTAGAAATTTGCATTTATTACACAAGACACTTGTATAGAAGTTATGTAAAGGTTGCATAATTTTAAAGTGGTGTCCAAACTGAAAAATATTTAGCATAGAAAAATTGAGTTTTGAAGAAGAAAATAGAATTTTCAGGCAATTGAGCATGTTTTGAATGGTAATTATCCATATTATGGATATTTAATGACATTTACTATTATCATGGACATTTAACAACATTATCTATAACTAAAAAAAATCATTTATATTCAAGTTTTAAAAAAAATCTATATTAAGGTATTAAAAGATGATATTATTGTTTATTTTATTTTATTTTATTTTTAAAATTTTAAACCAATAAACAAATTTAACATATAAATGAAGTATTGTAGTAGTATTTGCAATATATCATCAATTATTATTAATACACAGGGATATCTTTTATTTATTTTTATTTAGCAAACACCATCTTATGTTTATTATAATAGATATCCATAATTTGGTAATTTTTATGTTTTAAAAGTTAATAATTTGGTGGCAAATGACTTTGTAAATCTATTTTAAAGACTTCATACAACATATGAGTCTAATTTATAAAAAGCTTAAGAATAAAAAAATATTAATATAATATTATAGAATAAATAAACTATATTTTACATTAGTTTTTAAATATAACTAATTTATTGTATTATATAAAATAACAAATTTAAAACATGTTGAAATATTAAATATCAAGACAAATTTTAACTTAAAAGCATATTAACTAATTGTATATTAGTTTTAATTTCTAAAGATTTATTCTTCTCTCTATTTTTTTTTTTTTTTTTTTTTTTTTTTTTAAATCTTATAGAACAATTACCATATAGAGAACAAAACAACTACTAATACATTCTATTGCAAAAAGAAAGTGAAGTAGAAGAGATCTTTGATTTTGAGGTGGTGGTAAAATATATAGAAATATTATTTATATTAAATCAATTACTAATCTTGCAAAAAGTGTTAAGATTTTTCATTAGCAACATTTATTTGAATAAGGTTCTATATATTGAAGCCAAAAAAAGATGACATTATAATTATAATAAATAATAAAAGTGATTCAGAAAAATATTTTGAAATTCTCTTTGTTTGTTTTAAAGATTCTAATAGGTTTTTTTAAAAAAAATATTTTATTGATTTATTTTGCAGACAATAAATTCATCTTATGTACCATAAATTGCTAAGTTACCAAAAAAACTACTTAAGTTGTGATATCTTTTTTAAAATTAAAATGACAATATTTAAGGATTCTATTTTTTCTTAATTAGATAGCAAAATAAAATGTTTTTGGTACCACTACTCCAAAAGAATGTTTTGATACTTAATGATATAATTAGAGAAATAAATCATATTTATTAATATTCTTAATGTTTATTTGAAGATACTTACAAAGGCTCTATTTATGCTTCAATAATTATATGGTCTTCTTGTTTGAATGTTATATTGTCAAATTTTTAATTAATTATCAATAATTTTTTATATAATAAAAACCAGATTATGACAAGTATCATTTCATAAGAAGAAAGAAAGAAAAGTTAATTACATAGTATATACATAGGTTAGTCACATAAATAAATATATATAGAAAAATCTTAATTAATTAAGAATATTAAATGAGAATATCAAAATTTCATAGAAATCTATATTTAAAGTGATAATATTAAAATAATAATCATAATAATAATCATGAAAAAATCATAAAATTTACTTGATATTGTATTAATGGTTAATTTTTGTGGTAATAAGTTCAAATATATTTAAGTTTTGGAAAATGATTTTGATTTATCAAAAATTAAATCCTTTCAAAGACATGAAATCTTTGTTGATGCATGATAAATTTTAAAATTTTGACATAAAACATAAAATACATGTATATATTAGGATGTAAAATAATTATAATACTTACATCACAATGATCTCTTGATCTTGATTATATTAATGTAAAGTAAAAAATTAATAAAAATTTGTAGTAATTGAGACAAACATAATATATTTTAAAAAATATATTATAATGTGTATCATTGAATCAAATTGGTGCAATTATTGTGATACATGAGAGCACATGTATATAGTTTACTACATTGAACTTTGAGTTAAGACAATTCAGTTTAATCAGTCAATGTCTGTATTTCTTAACTTCAATTTAATAAACTTTTCCTTCGTCTGCACAGAATGGTATTGAATGATAACTAACATTGGAATTTCAATAGAACTTCTCCACCAAAACCAAATGTATATATATTCACACACATATACACAACACACATATATTCTGGAGTGTTGTCAAAATGTAAGAAAGTTCTGCTGTCAAGAAGACAGACAGTAACAACAACTTGACATTAATGTCACATACAAAACAGGTGGAAGAAGCAGAGTCTCTAAGTATTAAACAACCAACAAGTCGACAATGCACGTAAGAATGGGAGTTTCGTAATATATTATAGGGTGTTGAAAACTGTGCGATACAGCACAAAAACTAGCCAGCTAAAGAACATAAAACTAGACACTAGATCAAGGCGGCAGACATCAATCAGCACTGCTCAAGCCACATGCAGGTAGGTACCATACACACAATTACTCCCCTTGCTAAGTAAAAATAGCGTCTGCAGAACATGGACTCCTTTCAGGCTACAAGGACAAACTAATTCCATGACCAGCTCCGAAAGACTGGCAAGAAGAGACCCTCGACTCTGTGCCGAGAGGATAATATTCGACGTTCCGTGCCTTTCGATCTCTAGCGCGGCCTACCGACTGATGCAAGCTCAGCGCGGATCATCACTGGGAGGAGAAAACACGAACTATTACCGATCTGAAGATCTAGGTTGATTCCAGAAAGTCCTACGCACTGCGTGTACCACCTGCTCCGCCTAGACTTCGGCTCGTAAACAAAAATAAGCAGATAAATAATTCTAAAAAAATCGTGTAGGGGATCATCCGTCCGTCGAATTCTCTCTGCGACCTGGAAGTACGCGTCGATCACCTGTATTGGGCGCCCTCCCAGGTCTGCCCGAACTTCCAACCGTTGCCCACCGCATTGTAGGTGGTCACCGTGCGCCCGTCGCTCGTTGTGATCGCGAAGGAAAGTGGCCCATTCATCTTCTTCTGCACAGTCCATAATGCACCCCAGTTCCGGTACATGTCATACCATCCGGAGGTGGGGCACTTAACCTTGACAGCTACCACATCACCTGCCCCGCCAACGTTGTGAATAAGGATCATCAAGAACCAAGGATTGCCTCCCACAGTGAATCGAATTCCACCCTTCCTCGCACAATTCACCTTCCGGTAGTAGACTGGAACAACACCCCCTTCACGCCTAGCGAGGGCCAAGAAGGCAGGCATTGGCAAGTCGAAATGGTGCTGCGGAGGGTTACACCATCCTCCTGAAGAGCCTGGAGGACAGAGGTTGGTAGCGGTGACGAGAATGCTTCTACCCACCTGCCAGCACCAGTTCCTCTTGAGTAACCCACTCGGGGTTTCGCTGACTGGGGCACACTGCAGCTGGTAGCACGCACCACAGGCCGCTCCACCTTTAAACAGAGTGGTACTCAGTGCTGCTGTCATAAAGCCATATCCCAACGATACAGTGTTCTGATACCCGCAAGCACCGCCCTGCGTCCCTCCGCCATTTGGCGAACCATAGTACGTGATGCGCCCATTTATCCATCCTCCAGGCGGGGCACCGAACACAGGAGACGCGCAGAGCGCCAGGTGAACGAGCAGAACCACCGCGAGCTTCATACCGGATCGAGCGTCCATCTTCATGATGTCAAGGCTGCAATTCAGTACCGTTGATTAACAAATCAGAAACAAATAATCCAGATTCATGCCGAACCATCTGTTTGATCTACACACGTTTCGCTCGGTCGACCACACACCATGGCTTTTCACGAAATTAACATCCTTTTCATACTGGTTGATATTCTTCAAACACTCGACAGTTCTTCAAAAGTAGCAGTGGTTCAAATTGCCGTTTCAAAATTCTCTGTAATCTTGTCACCGCAACTAGAATCTCTTTTATCAAGGACAAACTTGGATACTTCTACTTAGTACCCCAATGCTTTGAATATTGTATACTCTAGAAGCGAATGAATTCATCGTGGAAACCAACACAACCCAGTTTGATTCCCAAGACACAAAACTGCACCTGTGGATCAGTCCAGACAACTTACAAGAGCCAAGTGAGCGACTGAAGATCTGGCCAGGGCCAATACTCAACACAACCCCTCAAGATACCACCCTCATGACATGAATCCGGACCCCGATGCAAACTCTCTCCCCCAGTTGACAAGATGGCGCTGCTGCATTGATGCGTTGAAGACGTCCCCCCAACTGGCTTATATCCAAACCCAACGCTGCAGCCCCAACTCCATTCCCGGCAACCATTACTTCGAATTCGGAGCAGTACTTTCCTCTTTTTCGCCCGCGTTGCAATGTGGGTGGTTAGTCAACGAGCCTGCCGATGGGCCGAAACTTAAGTTGCATATTTAGACATGTGCTTTTTGGAAGCTGGTCAGTGCCTTCGGTCGCTTTGTATGTAGTCTCAGACCAGACCACATCAGTGTACCAAAACGGTGGTCAGCCCGGTTCTTCCTATATATAGCAGACAACTTGGTGATATTGTCCATGAATTCTTTAACAGTTTCTTTTGACTTCGGTCGTCTGTTTCGCGGTTTCAGTTGCCTCTAATTGTGTAATTCTGTGCGATCGATCCAAACTGGCTGAAATACACTGTTGGAACTGCTCAAGATGTGGTGACTGACATGAATCGAGGGATAATTATGTTACTGCGGTCATATTTGTGGCGCTTGAATGATCCTGAGGGGGAATTCGCCTTGTCGAAATATTCAGTTTCATGGTGGTGCTCCCGCTCTGGGAAAATTTGGGATAATAGTTGGCCCTCGTGGAACCGAAGGATTCGTCATTTTCAATTTCTGTACTGGTCTTTTCCCAATAAAATTAGTGTTGTGATGCTAAATATCTCTTTACTGAAATAACATCAAAAACTGATATTTATTTTGAAATTCTACAAACAGTGGAAATGTGTGAAAAAAACCTATTTTGCACATGAGGTTGTTTTTGAAGGTAAAAAGGATACAGGATAAAATAAAATGAAATGAAATAAAACGATTAAAATGAACAGAATGGAACGATATGACTTCAGTGACTCTGCAAGTTCTCACACTCAACAAATAAAATACCACACCATCACAACTCAGACAAATTCTCTTGCGAACTAATTTCTAAGTATTAAGTTTATGATTAAAAATTCCTAATTGGGAATATTTTATTTTACTTAATTTTATTTTTTTAATTTTATTTCGTTCTTTTCATGTGTGTGTGCATATATATATATATATATATATATATGTGTGTGTGTGTGTGTGTATATAAAATCGAGCAACGGTAATGGAAAGGGCAACATGCCGAACTTGGAGGAGGCAGATGAAGACATCAAATCTCGACAGACAAGCGAGCACGAGTGATCATCAATGGTGATGAACAGTGCGTATGTTTAGGCGAAGGGGACAGCAACGACGATAGTGAGTGGGAGTTCCACTGTTCATTTGCGGGGTCTGAAATCAGATCTCCTCAAGCCGGCACTAGAAACAGCAACGGACCACCTCGCAGAAACAACCCGTGCAAGGGACCACACAGACGACAAAGATGATGGCTGCTATGCGCAGTTGATCGGGGGAGAGCGGTCCTCACTTGCGACCAAGTTGCGTATCTGGCCCATATTAACGGTGAGTTGATGGAAGATTGATAAGACCACACTTCAGTAATGACCTCAGATCTTGAGAACTACACGAAGAGAGAGAAACATCTGAGAGAGCGCTGCTGGGTGGGGTCGCATTGGTCCTAGGTTCAGGCTCTAGATCTGAAGGATCCGAGCTCCGAGTCAAGCAAGCAGTGTAGTGCCATTTACCTTGCTAGTCGATACCTTGCGGAACAACAACGCGTTGAATGGTTCGAAGCGTATCCTTCATCGACCTGATCTCTCACGTCGGGAGCTGGTCATCCAACTGTGAGGAACAAAAACCGGCTGGCGAATGCTGCAGAAGCGAGCAAGCACCCAAGACAATTTTATGTATCCAATCATAACACATAACATGCCAATCTGACAAATGTCGTGCAAATTCAAAGTTAACGAATTCTTTGTGTTGGAATTTCTTGGATAGTACCATTGTAGCACACAACTTGCCATTTTAACAATCTGACGAGATCTTTGAACGTGGACACTGAACTTTTATTCATGTTCGAAATTCAAATTAATAGAACTTTCAATTCATTTAATTTCACTACTCTTGATGTTTGCACTTGAACCATTCAGGTGCCAGCATAAAAATCAATATCAATGCAAAAATATAATCTTTTCAACTATTATACATTACCGACAACATAAATTGCGCCTCAAATGATGAAGTAATGTCATGCTTAGGTCAAACATGTTTCCAAACTTTATTTATTATTTATTTATTTATTAATGATGACAAAGAGATTTGAACTACTCACCTAGCTGTTTATGTATTTCTGTTAAAATCATCCTTCCCTACCTGAAAGAATAAACTACTTGTCCATTTAGAAATCATTCCCAAAGTGCATTTGTATATTTTAGGATGGCAAGCTTTCCATATTTTCACAGTAGCTTTCTAAGCACTGCCCAGGCTGATAGAGTTAGCTTGTGAAAGACATATGAATTGGCGATAACAATATGAAAACATATGTACACACACACAATAGAACTCAAAGGTTGACTCTCACTTCTTGCACCTTCCTGTGAAATACAACGATCTAAAAATGGTCGTAATCTATCTTTAGGATTTGTTTGAGTGATCCATAGTCGGTCCGAAATGCCTTCAATCTTTCCTTCTATATTTGATAGTGGAGGGAGGAGGACGTGGGACTATCGTAGGATTCCACTTGTTTCCTACTTTGGCAAGGTTTGCACCGTAATTTTCTGCGTTCCCGCTTTTTCAGGAAGAGTTCCCCCGTCCTTCGAGATTCAAGGGCTGAGCATCCCAACCACTCCTCCGCGAAGTAACGCGATGTGCTTCGGAGCACACCAATGTCGAGAGCGAAGCTTTGGTCCTTTCTTGATTACGCATTAATGCAATGTAGTTGCTTCTGTCGCTATTGCAAACCATGGTTAATTCTCGATTCGCAAGTCCTGAGATTCAGGTGACAATGAACGCATACTGTGGATTCATATAGATGTCAAAGCGCTCCAAACCGTCTACTTAGATTTCGATGACGTCGCTTGAGGACAGAAGTCGATACGACAATATAGGACTAGGGCGGCTACAAATTGTGGAAAGCTCTGATCGAACACGATCTAACCGGCCTACTCAATCTGTTTACCACGGTTACTTTACTAGTTAGTGATTTACTAGTTAAAAGTATAATTTCTCTTCGAGATATAATTGTGGATTTTTGTAATAAAGTATATTATTACACCCGATGTCTGTGTGTAGAGTATTGTGTTATAAGCTTAGAAACAAAAGGGTATGGGCTCGAGGCTTCAAAACTGCGCATGAGTGACTAGATTGTTGATTTTATAGCTCGTTCTTGATTGCTCAAAATATTGTTGATTGTGTTACTGACTGCAAAGTTGTATTGCATTGTTCAATAGACAACCGAGTATTATCTTTCTGTCAAACGAGATTAATCTGTTCGCATTTTCTTGAACTTCTTGAACTTCTTGATTTCTTGATTTCGAACTTAGTTCTCTTCCTAAGACTCTGTTCATAAGAGTTCTTTACACCTGCTCATTCATTTCTTCCTATTCTGATCACTATGTCCATCAAAATGAATTTAATCGGTATTCAACGTTTTAGTTGTACAGAATTCCATTTATGGAAATGGCAAGTTAGAAATCTATTTCATGCGAAAGGTTTCATTCAACACATTGATGGCACTCGTAAAAGCAGTTCAGATGACAAACAATGGACAAAGAGAGATACTAATGCCTACACCTTGCTTGCTTCCTCGATCGAACGAAAATTCCTTGCTCCAATTACTAGTTGCATAGCAGCGCTGGATGCCTGGGAGGAGCATGAATACAAAAATAGTAAGAATATTCATGAACTCCAACACCAATTCTACGATGCGAAATTGGAACCCGCCCAATCCATGTCAAAGCTTACAACTAACTTGCATGCTAGATTCGACGGTTTCACCATCGAATGGGAAAGCACTTCTAAAGAAGACCGCACTCTTCCTAATCTCAAGCTAAGGTTGCGAAAGGAAGAGACCAAGATTTTGAAACGCTTACAGCAAGACGCTACTCTTGACTCCAAAGCATTTTATGCTAATCGCCCCCGTATTTCTTCTACTGCCAATCATAAGATCACATCGAATAGTGTGAGTCTCTACTCATGCGGCTTCTCCACTTCTACGCCTATACATGGTAAATACAATAACTCATATCTACCTCCTGTTTGGCATAATACTAATTGTTCTACATCACCACGATTTACTGGCGCTTTATCCAGACGACCTATATTATCTTTATAACGAAATACAAACCATATGGCTAGTTCACAACCAAACAAAAACGCCAAAATTGGAGATTTAAAATGCATAACAAGATGTAACCATTGTGGACTTCCTGAGCATTGGTGGCAACAATGTCCACACAATTTTCAAGAAAATTATTATTGACCATTTCTTTCACAAACTGACTTTAACACTCAAGCTTCTTATGCTGAGTCAGCGGTTTCTACTCAACCTCTTTTTCATCAAAAACAAGTATATCCTAATATAAATTACTATTCTTCTGATACTCTTTATGATAAGTATCAAGACCACTTCAATTCTTATGAAGAAAATCAACCTTCTTCTTCATTTGATTTTCTAAGTTTTGATATTATATATAGCTGTAATGTTTTAGCTTCTTCCAAAGGTTAGATTTCTCATAGTGGTGCTATTAACCACATGATGGATCAAATTTATTGGTTCATTAACTATTGCTTTTGGATATTATATGGCATGTTGAAACACCCATATGTCATTGTTATTTCTTCAAGGGCATTAGAGACATTAAAATCCTTTTATAATTATTTAATTATATTGAAAGTTATTTACTTTAGTAGGTCTTATATATTCTAGGATTTGAAAAGAATTAATTTAACTTAACTAAAGTTGCCCAAAACTAAAAGATTTTTATACTTTGTAAAGACAATATTTACAAAATAATAATCTCATTATAACAAATAAAATAAAATAAGATTCTTATTTTCTTGATTTTATAACTATACTCTCTATTGTAGTTGCTTCCTATGCATCCACATATTTAAACATACTTTCTTCCAAAGAACTCCAAAA